TTCTCCCACACCTACAAGCCTCCTAATTCCTGGTATTCCCCTAGGTCTGAGCCCCACTCCCAGCCACCTACCCAGCCTTCAGATGGACCTGATTCATATAAATGTGTGAATGACTAACAGCCCTCAAAATGCAGTTGAGGTATTCCCGTTTTGAAAAAGGGTGCTGATTGGCACCCCTGTCTCTCGAATAGGTGGACCCTCTGAAAGTACCAGAAAGGGCTGTGAAGAGGCCACCACTACCAGAAACATCCCCACAAGGTTATCTTCTGCTTTTCCTTTCTCCTTTCATTCCCCTCAGAGTATAGAGATTATTTCAAAATTACAAAATTTGTTCTCTGCAAATGGTTCCCCTGGCAGCAATGCCGTGGCCAGAATGTATGTGGGTGGGTGAGTGGGGCAGGTGTATTTGCAATTTAGAGCTTTCATATGTGTTCGTTAGAGCCTCAGAGAGAAAGAGAAATTTTAGTTCCCACTTTGCAGGTGCCTAGTTTGTGTCTACCAAGGGGCTGATTTCATCTTCTTTGTGGATACAATATTAGCATATCTCATGGACAAAACAATCCTCACAGCCTTTCTAGAATATCCAATAAACACTCTCCACGTTATCTAAAAAGCGGGTGTAAAATAACTTTTCATAACAAAACGAATCATTTGATAACACAAGAAAAGGGTTAGTGAGAGTCTTTGCTGAAATTCCAACTGCTTTTTCTTGCTGCCGTCCCCCATCTTTGCAGAGATAAAGATTATGGTTGCCACGGAAACAGGACCAGAGAGAGAAAGACAGAAACTTTGTCTCATTTGGTTTCCCCAGGACTCACAAAGAGAGCTGGGCTGTAAGTAGAGCTGGACAAGATTATGGTAGATTTATAATTTACTTAGTCAAATTGCTTTTAATTCATCATCATGCCTCAATGTACATTTTTTTCCCTCTGAAAGTTAGGTCTTGCACCTAGTTGTCCAATGTCTGACATGTAACAGAGCCTTAAAATTCATTGTCTACGATTAAATTCAAATTCAGGACAGATGGCTTAGTCTGAGTATGTGTCAGACAGGCAAAGCACTTAAGATTTGTGACAGGCAAGACCAGGAATTAACTGCTAAGTTTTTGCATTTATTTGTACAGTCATGCGCACCATGAATATGGCTATAAAACTTATTTAAGTGTTCTCACTTTATTCAAAATATTCCCAAACAAAGCGACTGTTCTCCTTTTGCAAACCAGACGCCCTAATCGCAAGCCCATTAACTCAAAATCCATTTTTCTCATGCTACACGCATGTGTACATTTCATTTACTCAGTCAGGAGGATAACAGCAACCTTCTGAAAACCCAGCTTGCCTAGAACCCAGAATGTTGGTCCCCACTTCATTTTTGTGAGCCTTTTTATTGAAACATTTAATTATTTTATTGAGCAAACATTTGTCTGTGGAAATAAACAATGACCAGCCAAATGTGAACAAGCAAAGACTGTTTATTCAGAGCTTGCTATATAGCAAGGGAGTCAGCCACTGTCACTTGCATTTTGGCAGAGACTCAAAGGAAGGCGGAGAAAAGGGAAAATTTCAGTGTGGGGAAGAAAGGGATGTCTTCAGGTTTGATTGGAGCCTGTTAGCATGGGGAAGCTGCAAGTGGGCCAACCAGAAGTGGGCATCCTGTGGTGTCTGGGTAGGGGTACATGTTTGGCTTTCTCTGGCTGGTCCTTAGTTAGAAGCAAGGACGAAAATCAAGGAAGTAGTCAGTTATTAATCAAGTCCTGGCCATTTGGGGCTGACTGCGAATAATACAGGGGTTATGATCTGGCTTTCTAAACCAGTTGCCAGAGATAGTGGTCTAACTTCCTACAGGTCTGACTTACAGAGAGCAGGCTGGCTTCCTGGGCTGATCACTATAGACAATGTATGGGTTTCCTAGGCTGGTTGCTGCAGACTAGGGGGTCAGAGTTCCATTTTTATACATGGTCTGGCCATGATCCACGGGTATATTCAATCACTCAGTCAATAAACATCTTACAAACAGAAGAGCACAAAAAGCATCCGTGTACAGCTCAATGAGTGATCAAGTGTAACAACCACCCAGGAGCCCCCATTTATTTTTAAATTCTCTACAACCTTATCTTCTGAAACTGGCTGTCAAGGAACATTTTGAGTCTCAATCGACTCTTTCCATTGGCTTCCTCAGTCCTCATATCCAGGGCTGGGCTCACCAGATGCAGGTCTCCTCAGACCACCTCACAGAGTTGGTGTTTCCCACACAATGGAACGCAGAGCAGCCCTGGGTTTCTCACAGTCAGGCTCAGCCCTGTGAATCACCTTCCTCTACATTCCTGGACCTGGAGGAGCAGGTCAGAGTGTGCCTTGAACTCCACCTCCACCACTCCCTTGGGCAAGTTATATAATCTCTCAAGACCTGTTTCTTCATCTCCAAACTGACAGTAATAATAGCGCCTGCTCTCACAGGGTTGCCAGCAGGGATGAGCAAGGTGAGAGGCATGCAAACCCTTAACGCAGTCCCTGGCACAGCATAAGCACTCAGATTTTTATGTGTGTCTCTCTCCCCATAAAGTTTTAAAATGACAACTAAAAATTACTGAAGACCTACTATGTGCCAGGCACTGAACCTGGTACTTGCTCTTAAATTTCTTATATTATTAAATTTTTCTATTAGAAGGAATGTTAGTCATGCTTATTTTACAGGCAGAGGATCTATGGCTCAGAGATGTTAAGAAATCTCCCTATATTCACCTCAATTTGTCATGAGGATTAAATGAGATAACTGTAAAGCAGGTCCTTAGCACAATCTCAGCTCATCACTTAATGAATGCGGCTATAGTTTACATTGACTCTTTGATGATTCCCTGTAGTACAGGGGTCCCTAGCCCGTGGTCTGTTAGGAAGTGGGTGGCACAGCAGGAGGCGAGCCTTGGGCGAGTGAGCATTGCTGCCTGAGCTCCGCCTCCTGTCAGATCAGCGGAGCTGGGGAAGCGGAGGCAGTAGATTCTCACAGGAGCTCGAACCCTATTGTGAGCTGCACATGTGAGGGATCTAGGTTTCGTACTCCTTATGAAAATCTAATGTAGGAATGTTCAATCTTTTGGTTTCCCTGGGCTACAGTGGAAGAAGAATTGTCTTGGGCCACACATAAAATACACTAATAATAGCTAATGAGCTAAAACAAATCACAAATAATTTAAGAAAGTTTATTAATTTGTGTTGGACTGCATTCAAAGTCGTCCTGGGTGGCAGGCTGGACAAGCTTGATCTGATGCCTGATGACCTGAGGTGAAACAGTTTCATCCCAAAAACATCCCTGCCGCCTCTGGGCCCAGTCCCCATCCATGGAAAAGCTGTCTTCCACAAAACCAGTCCCTGGTGCCAAAAAGGCTGGGAACTATTGCTGTAATAGATAAGCCTACCTACTATAGAGAATAATCTGTGTAGTATCCCCTCCAACGTCTGCTCTCCCTTTGTTCCTTACTAATTAAATCACATTGCTATGGGGTGGCAGTGTGCCAGATAAAAGTACTGCCTCCCCAGGCTCTCTTTTATCTTGGGAAGTTCACGTGTCCCAGTTCTGGCCACTGAGAGGTAAGTGTAAGTCTCCCGGTGAGCCTTTCAGGTAAACTATTACTATTCCAAGAAAAAGGGAGAATGTCCTCTGGCCTGAGCCCTTTCCCCTTTGTCTGCCCCCACTTTTGCTGCCTGGAAAGCAGATGTAATGCCATTAGGTGCAGCTGCCATCCTGCAAGCATGAGGCCTGATGGCCTCGTCGGGGTGCTGTCCCGGCCCTGGACTGCTGACCTCCAACCCGTTTCCCTACTGTGGCCAGATTTTTATTACCATAGCCACTGTTTGGTGTGATCTATCTAAATGAAATCAAATTTCCAAATGAATGAAAATTAAGAATTTGAAGTATCTTTTTAATCTGTCTACATGTTCCAACTGAGATGATAGAGAGAAACAACTCTAGAGAATGAAATGTCTGTTTACGATCATTTCTATAGGAACCATTCTCAACCCCTCTAGGGATTAACATCAAGACGTTTTTCTGAGCCTAAATCCCATCCGTCAACTCCTAACTAACCTGTCCTTCTTCCCTGTCATTTAGTGTCATCCATATGGTGTCATCAACAGGGTTTCCAGGGGTCTTCAACATCATGCACTTGGGATCTGAGGGCTGACACTGGTCCCCAAAGGCTTGGCTGTAGACCAGCTTCACACGGCACAGAACCGAATGATCCTCCTGTCAAACCCAAGGCATCTGCTCTGGCATCTTGGTCAAAGTGCAAAGGCTATAATTGCATTATGCCTACTTGTGAGCTCTCCTAGAGTTCCCAATTAGGTAATATTTATTTTCTACCCAGAAAAGGTTATGCCCAACCTTGCTCTGCACACTGAAACAATAATGGTTCCAACCCGAGCGATAAAGGAGCATCTCAGTGTGACATGAAGCCATCATGAGATGGGGGCAGGAGGCTTCAACTAGTCTTTTGCAGAGCCAGCTAGGACAGCCATCAGCTTGGAAGAAGCTAGGTGTCCATGAGGGGTTAAACTTGTGCTTTTCTGTTGCAGTACAGAAATAATATGCATATATTTCCACTTTAAATGATTTCTAAAGCAGATGTCAGCAGATGAAAAGAGGATTGAACTCCAGCTCCTTCTCTAACAGCTTTCTGTCAAAATATAACCCACGTGAGGATTTCAAAAAACTAAATTCATTCTAATATAAAGTACTCTGTCTTAATATCGCATGGCGTGTGACTTGTTATATTCCCAGCTGCGAATAACCCATAAATGAAGGATTTTGTTTTGCTTAAAGAGATACTCTAATGGTCAACAAAAGTTTTACTTAGTATGCAAAATTACCTTTGTATATATCACTGAATGGTGAAATAAAACACGTTCGGAATATCTGAAACGATCCTTCTTTGGACAGACGAGAAAAGGCACAAGTTTACAATGCCTCAAATTGTGTCTTATTCAAATAAAGACCCACACACATAATGAAGAGAAAATCTCTAATAATTTATTGACCTTCAGTTTCACATTGTGAAAAAAAAAAAATAACAGTTTTACAAAACCTCAAAATGTAGTCATAGCAAACAAGTACATATGAACATGAACATTTTCCTTCAACTTACACAGTTTTGTACGTGAACCACATGGTCAATAGCCAAGAGAGGGACATTATGCGGCTCTAATCACTCTTATTCAAGACAGGTGTCAAGCCCAGAGAAAAGCGGCTACACAATTATACCAGAAGTGGAGGGCTGCCCTTTGTTATGTGTTTCTACAGCAACCAGCCCACAAAATAAGAAGAACCTTCTCTGTCTTATGCCAAGGTTTTTGTGTGTACTGTGCTGTGAATTGTATTTGCTTCAAAGTGTGGGACGTTTCACAGGGTGAGAATGGTCAAGTAGTGAGACCAAATGCCTATATCAATTCAAAGAGCAGGAGTCCAGAAAGTTCCCTGCAGGCTGGGGGCCCAACCCTTACCACAACTCCCTCTGGCTCACACACAGTAATTAATAGAGGATTCAAGGACAGAGACCAACTTTGAAACAGCTGCAGAAAATCCGTCCTGCCTTCAGAAGCCATGCAGTGACACATACATCTCTCTTGGCAGATTTGCATCATAAACTACAGAGCTGTAACTGCTACAATATAAACGACACTGACTATGCCCACTGGGGGACAATTAGACATTTGCATTGCTTAGAACACATCTAGGAACCAGGGACTGACTGCTGGAAAGTACTGGGATTCTTTTCTTCCAACAGCTCATTTATTTTGGCCCAACTACAGCCCACTCATTCATGGCATGGACGGACAAGCACAATTAGTCTAAAGTACTAAGGTGGAGAGAAATGTTAAGGATTTATCTGTCATTAGACAATGCAAACACAGTCACAATGTAAAAGGTTGTTATCAGTCTTAACCCCTATTTTCTAAAATACAGCAATGTGAGAAACGTGGACGAAAGCAGTTCAAGTTGCAAACTTTGGTCTTCCCCCGCACCTCGGGGGAAGCACCTATTTGAGACTAGCACTAATACCTACGACGGCACATGCTTAGTAAACAAGCACTCCAACTAGCAAAGAATGTATTCACAACTGATTTCCAACTCTGCCGGAAACCTTCTCAATAGGGGCCACTGCTTACAATTCTTTGGTGTTTTGTGGCCAAATGTGTTACTCGTGCACCAAAGAGTTTTTTAAAAAGAGATTTGCCTAAGGGTGAGCACTGAAGTATACATTGTGCCAATGTAATTATTGTCTTGGAGACCTTCTAGAACTTGCTAAATCATATAGCAAGAAGAGAAGGAGTTCGGGTCAAGAAATCTGGTGAGTTAATTTCCATCTGTGATACTTCCGTTTTTCCCATTAACTGTGGTTGTGGCAAAGCATTCTCATAAGGTAATAAATAAATAAATAAACTTTGGACAATGCCTTTACCTGTGTCCTATATACAGAACTATTCCATAGAATTTTCCAGGATTTCAAGATATTACACAAAGAAAAAAACTGTAAAGCAATTTGGTCCTTTCCAAATGTCAGCAGCTGAGACTGAATTAGGTAAATCAGATGGGAGTGGGGAGAAGGGCAGAAAGAAGCCTCCCCTTACCCCATCAGTACAACCAAACCCCAAGAAATCCCATTAAAATCTGGTGAGTCTGAGAAAAGTGATCTCCATGGTTTTTCTACCTCTAGGATGTCATTTAAATTTCCATTTTGTCATCCTTCCCTGTCTTGACATTTTTAAAATCCACCCCTCCCCAACCCACCCTCCAGTTATACTCCAAATTGTAACTCAAAAGTTTTCATGTTTGTGCAGCAAAGCACATCTCAACAGCCACAAAATGTGCAAAACATACAACCATTCACACACGTCCATACATGTGAAGACAGCTGTAGGCATTGTTTCAGCATGCAGGCATCGAACAATAAATAGCTAAATCTATAACAAACTTCTTAACAGCCAAGGAAAAGTTTAAAGTCACTTATAAATAGAAAAGAACATCTACCAAATGGCTACCAACAAAGTCCCCATTGTTCGGAAACGTTCCTGGGGAGCAGACCCCTTAGAGATTAACGGAGAGTCCAGTGGTCCTCATTCTTCAGCCAGCCCAGCCAGCTTCCCTCTTGGACCCACAGTTGGGCTTTGACTCTCCAGCAGCAGCTGGTGTGGAGGCTTCAAGCTCTCTCCTCAGAGAGGTGACAACCATTTCAAATTTTACACATAAATGGTGGAGCCCATGGAAATCAAATGCTGAATATGGTACAGCAAGGGAAAAGGTCCAGCTTTTCTCTCCCTTTGAGGGGGCTGATTAACGCTGACATTAATCCACAATTACAAGACAAGGACTAGATCACAGGTTTGTTCATTCATATTTAAACCATGTGCTACTTGCACCAAAAATCCCACCCCCGCCCGCCCCCTTCCTTCATGTCCAGTTAGAGCATTTACAAGGTGCAGCAGATTTTATTCGTGTCTTGCAACTTCTTTTAACTTCTTTTCCTTTTTTTCTCTTCATTACACTTGGCCTCTCCAAAGTAGAAATCTCATATTATAGCATCGAGTGATGGAGTGAGCTGAAACAGACGAAAAAAACGAAACAAAAAAGCATGAAGGATTTGTATGATGCCATAGTTAAGATTTTTCTTTTTAGCCACAAAATTTTAAAAATTAAACTAGGTATGGAGCTGGACAATATTGCTTCCAAAGGTCTTACATGTTCAGTAGGAACTGTGCAAAGATATTTAAAGTGCTTGCCTTAAATGCACAAGTGTGCATGTACGCATCCATGCAGATGGATGGCCTGACAAAAACAGTGGTGTCTAAAGAAGGACCTTCACTTCTTTCCTAAGTGTATATATACGTTCAAATCCAAACCTATATGTCCAGATGCTATTATGAGTTGCCATCTTCTGCTTCCAACATTCATAAAATTTCTTTCTGTGGTTAAACAGAGCCACCATAAAGTGATCACTAAAGGGTGAAAAGAAGGGAGATTCCTCTGCAAACCCTCCTTGGCCCATATACCATGAAAGATTCCAAATTAACTTTACCATCTCGGAGGCAGGCATACTAATCCTCGTATTTAAACGCATCTCTGCTATCCATTATGGCAGAAATCAGTCTCGCTTCCTTTCACATGACAACGTATCAGGCCTCAACAGCCCAAGGTTGGAGTTTATTCTCAAAGTTCATTAGTCCACACTTAGATGCCAGCAGTTACGGCATACCAGTGCTACAGAATCTATCTACATCAAGTGTGAATATCAGTTCAAAGTGCCGTAACCACAAAGCCTGCACATTTCATAGAGCTTGCATTTCCTCACACTGCTCACCCTTCCCATTTATTTATTTCTCATTTCATTTGGGGAAATTCTGCAGACGGCTTTTGTATCCTTATTGCTGTAACTCTAAGTACAGACAAAGGGAATTCTGGAGGAGCCACTCATGACTTGCATCGAATTCTTCCCACTTTGCTTTTGTGTGTTCAGAAGCCTGATTCATTTCATGAGTTGTTTCTTTTGGCTGTTTCCTAACAGTGATTCAAGCTTTCAAGGCATTCCTTAGACTATGGTGTCATTGCCCCACCTCCACTTCCTTGTAACCTATATGTCAACATTAGGCCAAAGGAATGTATCTTGTAATAATATAAAATTTCAAGACATCGCATATTCAAACAGGAAAAAAGGAATACACACCACCCCCCCAAAATTGCATATTCAAACAGAAAAATAAAAAAGGACACATACCAAAAAAAAAAAAAAAAAAAATCTAGAGAAGAAACAAAGCAAATCAAAGCCTAAGTTAGGTTGAGGCCACACGGGCACCATGAAAACAGAGGATAATCAAAGTAATTTCCTCTCTGCCCTTCCCACCCACTGACAGAGCAGCAGGAGGCAGATAAACCCTCCTTGGTGGATGAGCTTTAAGACCTAGGGAAACTTTCTGTTAAACACTGTATTAATTCAGTTAACACCTACATTTGGAGGGCAGAGGAATTTGCAGTTTGGGACTGAGACCTACCTACCCAGCACTTTAGGGCACTCCAACCCCCTCTTAAATGTTTTAGCACTATCTTGTGTAGTAAACTTTAGACATTTTAACCAACATTCTCCCTGTCGGAAATTCAAAGAGTGGCTTTGATCAGGCGCTTACGCTGCCCTTTAAAGGCAGCAAACTTGGCCCTGTCAAATTTAGTTTTTATGTGTTTGACTCTCTCACTGGTAGCACCAAGGATGAAGAGGATGTTATTTCACGTATAAATTAACACTTTACTTGCTCTGTTTCCCAGGGACCGGAAGGGTATGATTCAGTTCAAACACCCAGGGTAGGGTGAAGTCAAGTGTTTGCCAACATGTTCACTCTGGGCTGAAAAAGGAGGAACCAAAAATGAAGTCTAAAGATAACAGGCAGATAAAAGTCAAAGAAACCTCATTTTCCTACCACACACAAAGCTAATTCCACTGCCATTATCTCACAGTGAGTTAGGGTCTAAACTGAATATTGAACACTTACTACATGCCAATCACAGGGCTAGGTATTTTCACCTCTTTTAATTCCCCTATCAATTGACCCAAGTCTGAGTTGGGACAGATCACAGGGGAATTATAGATCAAACCACTCATTTGACAGAGAAGCAATCTGAAACTCAGAAAGGTCTAGAACTTAAAACTAGGGCCAGAATACACACGTGGCTTCTCTCCTCTTTCTGCCTCAATTTCCTTATCTTGTTCCAAGGATGCCAGCCAGCCTGCCCATTGTCGTTACATACCACCACCCTGGTAGCAATTTTTATGGCTCTTCTGTGCAAATATAGTCAGTTCTGGACTAACACCCAACTAAGTGTGCTGTTAATTGATGCTTTTGCCTAGGAGGTTCTTTAAACCTGCTTTAGAGGTGAGTCATGCATTCATATCTCAAATGAAATAACCACTTTCAGAGCATTTGTTTATTCAAGATTACTGAGATGCCAGCAAGGCTACAAAAAACCAGTTTAGTGTGGGACGTTATTAGCCCAGTTGCTCCCCAGAGGAGGTGTCTGACTGTTCCTGCTGTTTTGAAGGAGTTTCATTCCAGGAAAGCATGACATAACTCAGAACTCTGATAACTGTACGAAGGGTGGAAGAGATAACTGAAGAAGTGAAAAAAATAGCAAGCTGAAGGCTATGCGCGGTGGCTCACGCCTGTAATCCCAGCACTTTGGGAGGCTGAGGTGGGTGGATCACTTGAGGTCAGGAGTTGAAGACCAGCTTTACCAACACGGTGAAACCCCATCTCTACTAAAAATACAAAAAAGCCAGGTGTGGTGGTGGGCGCTGCAATCCAGCTACTTGGAAGGCTGAGGCAGGAGAATCGCTTGAACCCAGGAGGCGGAAGTTGCAGCGAGCCGAGATCTCGCCATTGTACCCCAGCCTGGGCAATAGAATAAGACTCTGTCTCAAAAAAAAAAAACAAATAGCAAGCTGAAATGTGAGAGTAAGGCCAAGTTTAATGATGTTTCTAAATGAATTGTAAGGGATGGGGAAAGAAAAGACCAATGAGATGAAACCCCTCTGTGCTTAGCTTGCCACTAGGCCTAGATCTCCTTTTCTCCCTTTGAAGTCCCCTTCAAAGGTGTGAAATATACAAGGGAAAACAGAACCAAAAGTTCCCAAGTAAATGAGTTTGTTTTCATTGTAGTTCCTCCAAAGCAGTTACTTTCTTCTCTTATTATTAGTAATAAGCCCATGAATCACCAAAACAAATCAACACATTCTGTGTGCGCTGGGCTATACTTACACATGCCTAAGCAATTCCTGGGGCCAATCCTAAGAATGCTTAGCAGCAAAGCAGCCATGAGCTTTGCGAACTCTGAACTGTGTAGGCCTATTAATTATCTGAGCCAAGAGCATTATATACTCTTAAATACACAGACAACGATTATATACTCAGATATATGACGCAGAAACACAACTTTGACAATAGCCTTGACAATAGGGGCAGCCTGACTAAGTCTGAAAGGCCATAGTTTTGGAAGTTTAGGTGGCTCAGTGTTATCTGCACAAATTTCTGCTACGTACATGCAGCCTTTTACAAAGACAGATATAGATTTATCTTTAAAGGTAATAAATGCCCTAAAGGGTGCTACTTTTTAAGGAAAACATTTAAAATAAGCTAACAATTTTGGAGAGAATAAACTAGGAATGAATTTGGGCAATACATTTTTAAAACCCTATTCATTCCACAAAGGGTTTGAGGAAGCAAAATTTGAATAGAAATGAAGTATCACCTGGGATGACATTGGTGTCACGGATGTGAAGCTCAAGTTTATTCAGTGGCAGTGCAACACGATGCTCCAGTGCAGATGTCTGGAGCCAGACCCCCTGCATTGACTTCCTGACCAGCTCCACCACTTACTAAGCTCTGCTCACTCGGCAGCTTAGCCTCCTTAATGCATGAAGTTTTTTCATCTATAAAACGAAGCTAGTAATAATTCCCCACAGAGTTGTTGTGAGGATAGAATGAGACGATCTTGGGAAACCACGTGGCACCGCTGCAAGCACACAGTGAGGGCGCAATAAACATTAGCTGGCATTCTCAACAGAGGTCAGGGGTTCTCAACGTGGTTGTTCATTGGAATCATCCGGAAACTTTCTAAAAATACTGATGCTTGGACCCCACCCCAGACCAAATGAAACTAAGTCTCTGGTATGGGCAGTTTTTAAAAAGCTCTTCAGGGTCGGGCGCGGTGGCTCACGCCTGTAATCCCAGCACTTTGGGAGGCTGGGGTGGGCAGATCATGAGGTCAGGAGATCAAGACCATCCTGGCTAACATGGTGAAACCCCGTCTCTACTAAAAATACAAAAAATTATCTGGGCATGGTGATGGGCGCCTGTATCCCAGCTACTCGGGACGCTGAGGCAGGAGAACGGCGTGAACCCGGGAGGCGGAGCTTGCAGTGAGCCAAAATCATGCCACTGCACTCCAGCCTGGGTGACAGAGCGAGACTCCGTCTCAAAAAATAATAATAATAAAATAAATAAAAAGCTCTTCAGGAGATTCTGAGGCTCAGTAAAAGCTGAGAACCACTGGCTAATGCCATTGGGGGGCTGAGGCTGTGGTCAACACAAGTTGGTAGGTTCTAGGGGCACCAGCTCTCTTATTTTTACAGCTTTGGTAGTACCTCTGCAGTACAGTCTCTGTGGATCAGATCTCACCCCATGTACTGAACTTACGCAATAGCCTCATTATATGCAGACTTGCATCTATAGCAAAACTTCTTACCTCGTGCTCACTCTCTTTAGAATGTACTGCATTTAAGAAGGCAGATGTTTCCAGGTGCTGACAAATGCAGTAGGAATCAGCGAGTACGGGACGGTGGTGATGCTGTTCCACACATCTAATGTTGGATCGTAGCAGTCCAAAGTCTTGCATCGCTGAATGCCAAAGTATCCTCCAACCACGTAGAGTTTGTTTCCGGAGGCTACAGCATGGCAGCTCATGCGCTTTGCTGTCACATCTCCCACCTTGGTCCACTGGTAAGTCTCACTGTTGAATTTATAAGCAGAGCAGGCAGAGAATTCTGTATCACCCCCCATAATAAAAATCTGGTTCCCCAGCACAGCTGCTGCTGTGTAACGCCAGGGCTGGGGACAGGTGGCCGGTACAGTCCACCTGTTTTCACACTGATCATAACACTGAACTTTGGGGAGCTTGTCATGACTGACACTGGTACCTCCAAAAGCAAACAACTTGAGTTTGGCACTCACTACTGCGGCGTTGCTAACGCCTTCTCGGAGTGGGGCCACCATGGTCCATTTGTTGGTTGTGGGGTCATAATGTTCTACCTGCTTTAGAGAGACTGAGGGGGAGGCTGGGAGGCAGCCAGTTGCGGCTGTGTGCCCCCCAACCACATATAGGCAGTGCTTCAGTTCAGCAGAGCCATGGCCAAACCTGGCCACCAGCATGGGGGCAGCTTTGGACCACTCCTCGTGCAGGGTATCATAAACCCAGACATCTTTCGAGACCCCATTTTCAGACCCCCGCCCCCCAGTAATGTATACTTTGCAGCCAATCGCACATGCACTAAACTCTTTTCTTGGGCTGGGAATGTCAGCCTTGGGAATGATTTCTTTGGCCTTCTGGTCTACCAGATACAACTTGTCACACATGAAAGTTTGTCCTCCCAGAAGGAAGAGGGCATGGCCGGTTTTCCGAGGTCGGGCACAGAGGCTGGTTACCACACCGTCATTCTGCAGGATTTTCAGTTTGCACCTGATGGCCTCTTCCACAATTTCCTTACTCTTTCTCTGCTTGGTGATGAGTTCCTCCATGGCCACATTCTCCATGAGATAGATGGCTGGCAGAAGTGCCAGCCTTACTGTCTGCAACAGTTCTGGGAGGTAGCAATAGCGCTTCTTCAGGTCATAGCTGATCCAGTTAATTGCAGACTCGTACACAAGCCTTTCATCTTCTGTCTCCAGCTCTTCACTGGACAAGAGTTGCACTACCATGTCCTGGGGCAGCTGGAGGAAATCTTCATTCTTCCTGATGGTTTGGAAGTTGCTGAGACACATTCTCCAAGATAGTTCATACAGCTTGGTGCACTGGTGTGCGTCAGACAGCAGCAGCATGCCCAGGCAGTTGGTGGGATGCAGGTTCTTTTCCAGGAACTCTGCACATGCATCCCGGATGTCTTGAAACTCCAGCATGTCACCAGCTTCCAGGAGCGATTCTGCATTTTCTTCATTGATGATGACCCGGGAGGAGTACGCATAGTCAAGCAGCAGCTCCAAGACTTCTGGGTGGATGGAATTGTCGAAGTTGACCTCACTGTCCTGGCTCTCTTTCAGGCCACCACTGAACATGGCCTCAAAGTAGCGACTGCACGCAGCCAGCACTGCCCGGTGGCAAGGGAAGGTCCTATTTCCGGCATGGAGAAGGACGTCAGTGAAGAGACGCTGCTGGCGTAAAAGATTCAGGTGAGTAAGGACGCTGTCAGCGTACGAGGACTTGTGAAACAGATAGATGTTAATGGAGCCGCTGCTGGCCCTGGACTTGCGGTTCTCATGCACGCTGACTGACATTTTGTTTCCACTCCTAAAAATAATAATAATAATAAATTGAAAATGATGCTCCTGATGTTCAGAACAGCAGAACAAAAGCAACAATGGTTTTGGACAAAAAACAGAACACTTTGTAGTTGACCATGCCACCTACTATTCTAGAATAGTGTGTGGCCATTCCAGGACAAAGCCAGAGACAGCTACCCAGAAGGAAAGATATTCACTGTAATACTGTTGAGCTATTTGAACTCTGCACCATTTAAAAAAAAAATCACTGCATAAAAAGCAGGTTGATCTTGGAAAACCTGATTGCCAACTTTCAGGCCATTGAAGTCTTTTAGAATGTAAGTCAGCAAAAGCCAAGAGGAGTGAGGTCTCATTCTCACAGCTCCCTGTCGTAGTCCAGCTGATTCACTGCGGGCCACTTAAAATGCCAGGTCTCCTGCTCTCATAATGCCAGGATGGGCACTGGCTTTCATGCCTCATGCAACATAAAGCCATGTGTAAAACAAACACCTAATAATTAATTCCATTAAGAATTCCTTTGGTAAGACCCAATCTCCCGGCACAGACAGTAAATGGGAAATGTAAGGCCAACTTCTGCAACGATCAGACCTTTATTTAAATGTTACAGATAATGTATTTCATTTTATACATATTTTTGAGACCAAGTCTCGCTCTGTCACCCAGGCTTGAGCACAGTGGTACAATCACAGTTCACTGCAGCCTCGAACTCCTGGACTCAAGTGATCCTCCTGCCTCGGACTTCCGAGTAGCTGGCACTAAAGGTGTGCACCACCAAACCCAGATAATTTTTTGTATTTTTTGTAGAGACAGGGTCTCAAACTCCTGCTCCTCCCACCTCGGCATCCCAAGTTAAAGATTAATTTCTAACCACACAGCTCTACCACTGAGGAGTCCTAAAAGCACCCCAATTTGAATACCCATATATTGATCAGCAAGCCTTTAGTCAAAGCACGGAATAAATTCTGGCCGTAATCACCAACTACCTGTCTTGCTCTGGACAGCTTCCAATGTGAGGATTTGGCACATAAAAAGAAGAATATTTTGAGTAGCATACTCATGACTGCTGTTTTCTGTTCTTCCCGCTTTATATCAATTCTTGGAAAACCATTTGCAAGAACAAAAGATCCACCCCTGTCTTTTGATTAAATAGTGCATCACCAGGACTGTTCCTATATACCTGCAAATGCTGGCACCTGCATAGAGGGAGTTCAAAATGCAAACACTGCTTTATTTAAATCAAAAAATACGTGTCTGTGTGTGTGTGTGTGTGTGTGTATTTTGCCAGCTGTTGTTCATTTAGGACCACCTCAGAATTTATTTGCCGACTACAGTGCTTTCCTCAGTATCTACAACGAAATTATAGTAGAATCTAATGCTATCTTTTGGCTTTCTTCAGTAAGAAAACAGTAGGCTAGAGACATAGGAAATGCTTGTCATCCATCTTCAAAAACTGAATCACATGCCTTCATCCTTTTCTTTTATACCACCCCTCTGTTACTTCAAAGGAATGAAGTCCTCAAGAAGCTGCCTGTCCAAGGATTCCTAAGGAAGCTGTTTATCCCGTTGTTTATCCCCAGAGGGTAAACTGTGTGGCTGGTTACAGTATCTGTTCCAGACACAGAACAGCCAGTCTTGAAAGCGCAGCTGAAACTCTGTTTCCTTTAACCATTCAGATATTTTTAAATTTACATTCTAAGAATTATTAATAAATGCAAATGAATGATTTGCCACAGATTCATGGGCTAAAATACTAACTTGCACCTCCCCAACCAGATGTGAGCCCCGCTGTGAGACTGCACAGAAAACCACAAAGGCAGGGGCAGGACACATATACCTCATGCCATTAGGTGATGCAACTAGTTTTCTTTCCTTTTTGGAATGTAATTTTTTATGATGAGTAAACATGGCTTAGTGGAAGAAAGGAAGCAACAAAGTCCTAGAGCTCCAGTGTTAGGAAGACTTTACAAAGCACCCAGTAATCTCCACAGTGACTTGGGATATAAAAAATGGTGAGGAGCCAGCCTCACTTCCACCTCAGGCTAGTATCTACTGTCTACTCCATTCTAACCAATGCCCAGTGTTCTGGAAAATGACCATGTGAACCTAGGGGAATGCATCAGGTTTCCAAAGGGTTAAAACATCCATTAGCATTCTCAATGCTCCACCACTGTAGTTGTTATTTTAATTAGTACATTCAGTCTGAAGTATTTGGAGGAAGACTTTAAGTCTAAACCTGGATAGACTGTCTACATACTCCTATGAAGCTACTGCCGCTCAGGCTAAGAGCAAATGCTGCCCTGACTGAAGGAAGAATGAGGTTCCCTGAAACTAGGTGCACAGACACCAAAATGCTTACACGTTGAGCTGGAATCATGCTGGGCCCAGAACACATTTCCCTGAACATTAGATTCAGGATGGTGCAAAACAACATTCACAACCAGACCTACAGCTAAGAAAACAATTTGTTTAGAAGACCTTAGGATATAGGATCTACATCTCTCTGCATCCTGTGTTTATGCTCCTGTATGTTCCAGGCTGGCCCAACAAGCCAGAAGGAAGAGCCTAGCCTGTCATCTTGGATACCATCCAGATGGAAAAGCACGTCACAGCCAAAATCACAATCAACATTCTTGCAAAAATGTTTGATTAAAATAAAAAGTAAACTTGGAAACCCAAGGGGAAATACTTGCTTTCTGGTTTAAAAGTGTGCAAACTTCAAAATATCAGTAGAAACCATGTATACAAGTCACTGAACACACCTTCAACATAAAATGAATCATCTTTCCAGCATTTTTAAGCCCCCAGAGAAATCACATTTGCATATCAAGTAAGTGGCCAAGAAAATGCACACTTATACTTAACCTGCGTCTACAAAGAAGACAGAGAAAAGGGCTGCTATTACTGTGAACATCAAAAGGGCTTCAGTTACAGTAACTTCAGTGCACTTCATGCTCCTAATTCAGGCTCTCTGCCTCCAATGCTTAGCGTCCCGCACGCTTCTCCAGGTTTTGAACCTGATCTCAATCCAATCAAAAGAGAAACTAGGCAGATTTTTTTCTGGGCATTTATATTACCGGTAACAACAGAACATTATAAAGATCTTGTTAACAAAAGTAGCTTCTTGCCAGAGTCTTTTTATTAACACTTGCAAAGCTATTTAACAAGCTGGCCATGCCTGTGTGACACCAAACTGCATGTGGATAAATTCAATGTTTCATCTCCCCGCCCACCAATTCCTATCCTTTGTAACTAATAATGTTAACACGACAGATCAAGAAACTAGTTTTTCAGAAAACAGTTTTCATTCATTCTCTACAAGACATTTCCGCCGCAGTGAACATGCCCGCTCTCAGGGTGTCTGTGCGTGGCCCCAACTTTCCTCTGAGCCGGGAAGGATGCAACGTGGGCCAACGATTCCGCGCGCTCCGCCCTGGAGGCTGCGGGGAGCGACGCAGCGCGACATTCACCCCAGGAAAGCGCTGCTTTCCGCGGAAGAGAGAGGCTGACTGTATCCTTAGCTCTGCTCCTCGCTTCCCCAGCGGCTCGCCCCGGACATTGCACCGCCGGTCGACCTCTCTGGCGATGCCCGGCTCCTGCCTGCTGTGGAAGGGCAGCGGCGGGCACCATGGTCTCCGCACCTAGAAGAGTTCCCCCTGGCCTCAAGTGGAAGCTGCCGGCTGCCCGGAGCACGCTCACCCCTCGCGAACACACCCCTGCAGCCGAAGCAGCCCCTGAAGCCGGCAGCGCCTGCAACAGGTCCGGGGCAGTGGGGGAAACTTACAGCAGTGGCGACTGGCCGCAACGCACAACTGAGTTCTAGCGTCGGTCACGGGCAAGGAGGCGACGAATCGGTCGTCTCAGCCCCGGGAAGCGGTGGCGAATGCCCCGGAGAAAGGAGCGCCAGCCGGGGAGAGGACTGCGCCCCGAACGATGGCTCGCGGACTGGCTACCACTGGCGTTCGCCTCTGCCTCTTGTCCCCACGCCGCGCACCCGGCGTCCAGGACCCGCAGAGCGTCTACCGGAGCGCGTCACCGGAGCGGAGAGCAAGCCTGCCACTGCAGGCGCCGCGGAAGGAGGCGGGCTGTGCGCTCGGGGGAGGGAGCTAGAAAGCGCCTTGTGCGCCGGCTGCCGCCAGGCGTCTGGACCCGGTCTCCGCAGCGCCACCGCCGCACCGCCTCCTCTCCGGCTGCCAGAGCAGTCTGCGCCCCGCCGCGGTGCGCCCCGCTATAAGTGGCGCGGCGGGGAGGGGAGGGGGCGCGTATGCAAAGAGACCGACACCGGGGGAGGGAGGAAGCGCATTAGCGCGGCCCGTGGTGTAGGAGGAGGAAGAGGAGGAGAAGGAGTGGGAGGAGGAGAGGAGCTGGGGAAGAGCGTGTCGGGGGAGTTAATCGGGAGAGGAAGCGGGAGAGGGGGGCTGCGGGGACTGCAGAGAGACAAAGCGGACGCGCTGTCTCAGCCGCTGGCAGCTGCAGCCCCGGGAACCGAGAATAAAATAAGTTTTCCCGGGTTCGAGTGTGTCTGCGCCTCTTTGAGCCAGCCTGGTTAATGGACAGTCCCGGATCTGAGGGACGCACCTCAGGGGAGCGCAGCCTGGCGTTGTACGCTCGGTGATGCCAGAGCCCGCGCGATGCTCTAAAAAGGGCAGCAAGGGGCGAGCTGGATATCCACAGGACAGGCCCTGGGCACGCATAGATAGCTCCTTGGGTAGGACGCCCAGAGTGGGGAGAGATAGTGGCAATGGAAGGGCAAAAGTCTGAAAGCTTTGGGGACACTCGGGTTGAGCAAGCCAGGACTTTTAAGTTTCTTGCTGGCAGAGAGCCAAAGAGACTCCAGCCCCAGGCATTTCCCATGTGTCCTCCCTCCCCATTCCCCAGCGGGTGCGGCACCCCCGGCTGGACTCTGCCCTAAGCCAGGCGACTGCAGCGGCAGCCGGGGTGCAGTTCTGCGGGGCGCGCACCACGTGCTTTTCAGCCAATCGCCGCGGCCGCTTGATTCAAAGTGAACTCCTCAAAGCAGCAGCCACGCCGCCTCCTCTCCTAGCGATAAAGCCTCCATCACCCTCTCCTGTTTTTTATCGCTCGGTGGTGGTAGTTTGGAGTTCAGTAAAGAAATGGCTCAGCGCACACACACGTTTAATAGCCCCGCGTGCCAGGAGAAAGGAAGGCGATTCGAAAAATAATCTCGCGTGGTGATCACTTTTACGAATCCCATTTATCTTTGCAACTAGAGACTTGTCTTTCCACTGGGAGCTAAAATGTCTGTTTTTTATTCGGTGTTTGGAATTAAGTGTATAAAGGAACGGGATAGATGACCGGTCCAGCCCCCTTGTTTTACAGGTGGGAAACCGAGGCCCAGGGAGATGTGAGTTGCCTGGCTTGTAGTCACTTAGCAACAGTGTCCCAGCTCTGCAGCTCGAGAGTGAGGGCCCCACGACAGAGTTAATTCCGTCCCCGGGTCCGCGCGTCCCCGAGCGCCCGCGCTTCGCCTCCCAGCTTGCTTTAAAACACTAGGTGCACGAGCGGTTTAAACTGGCTACGGAGGACCCACCGTGGTGCTTCCAGAGTCCAGACTGCTGAAACCAAGACTGTCAGTTCTTCACTCTAATTTCACTTTCCTTTACCCTTGTTCCCTCCTGGTATTTGCGCCGAGAAATTTCGCTCCTTGCAAACAAAGAAAGACAGTGCCCTCTGAAGTCCTTTGTTAGCATTAACTCGGCAGCCTCACCACGAACCTTTCAATATATATATTTTTAATGCAGAGTCAGTCTCGGCTTGAGGCTGCTTCACAGACACAGCCCGGATCAATTCATGGCGAGAACCGCGAATGGAGAGTCAGGGGGGCTGCGAGGTTACAGAGCGCGGGCAAGCAGCACCCAGGTTCTGAAGCGAAGACCAGACAGATGGAAACTCTGCAGACTCCAGAGACAGGTGCTGAAAAGATGGGAGGTGGAAATGTGTAACTATTGCACATGTGTCTTTTTAAAACATGTTTCTGTGGCCTGTGGCAAGGTGTGGGGGAGCTCATCAAGGCAGCCACTAACGCACCTTTTAGACACCTCCTAGACCTGCTCTGTCTGCCTCCTTTGTGAGTCAAATCTACCTAAAACGGCACCTAGATGCCCTTGCCTAGAAATGGACTCTGTACATAGCTCAGCTGGTTGGTTGGAGATTTTGCCACTGGAAGCAACCGAACTAGGGACAGGTATGTATCTTTACTGCCTGGAAACTGCGGGATGTCCTTAACCAAGGGAACAGCAAAGTTCAGATCTCTTTGTGAAGAACTTTGCTAAGCAGGCAGGGCTGAGAAAGGAAAGAAATCCTCTGGCCATTGTATCACCATCCACTGGTGCCAGTTTCCTGTATCTTTTCTACCTAATGTTGACACTTTCTATGCTTCAATAAAAGAAAGAAAAAAAGCTGTAGACTGGAAAATCTTGAAATGCATTCAGTGACCATATACATTCGCTTCATCTGCCTCGGGTAGACAAGCAACACAAGAGAAAAGACGTTAGCTTATGTAAGTTCTAAAATCTGGAAAACATTTTCCTGCTGAAAGTCACAAGAACTAAACTTGTAAGTTTGGAAATCATGTGTGCTACTGATGACCTCCTACAAACTGTACTCTGGTTTGCTTGAGCCAATGTATGACTAGTTTTCGGGCAGTTGGGCAGTTTTTAATGTTTATCTCAGCTGAAAATGATTTGCAAGTTAGCAAATTTATGATCATAGCAACTCAAACTGTATAATCTCACAGCATCTCTCAGCCAATCCTAAAGGTAACTCTTATCACCCCACTCACACAAAGAAAAGCTGAGCAAGTCTTCATTCTGTACAGGAAGAAACTTCTAAATAGGGCTGTCATCAAAACTGGACGGCCATAGACATAGCAGATATCTGAGTCACAAACAAGTCAGGAAATGCTGCTTGTACTGCATCCGCGTTACACAATAGCCAACACTTCACACAAGATATTAGGCCAGTCCTGTAGGCCCCTGGGAGCAGGTCTTTGCCTCTGTCTTGTGACATCAAACCAAAGTCTCATTTTTTAATGCTATTAAGAAGCTGTGCCCAAGGCTTTGGGCTTGTTATCTCCCTTAACAATGTTATTTTGTTAGGCCGCAAAATAAGCAGCATGGGGTTAAATGTATTAGCTGCCTTCAAACCTAATTTATCTTCATTCCTTCCTAATTTACACTTGGGCTGAATTAATGAGAATGATTTAATTAACACGGTGCGATCATGGTACCAGGGACAGGACAGCTCAGGGGATTAGAACAAACAGTAGGCTAAGCAGCTGCCATCCTGCCTCCTGTGGTCTCCTGAAGCCCCACCCAAATTCAGACATGTTCCCTGCTGGTATTCCAAAAGTGCCCTCTTTGTTTTGTGAGAACACTTTCTGAATCTGTGCAAGGAAGATAGCACAGCTTTCCTTCCCCGTGTTATTTGCTAGATGGACTTCAAAGCGTGTACTGGAGACACAGTGTGGCAGAGAGGCCAACTGCCCACCAAAGATTTGTGCTCCTCTTCCATAGTGTCAAGTTCGTGTCGGGAAGTGGACGCCCAGCCAGGGACCACACCTCCCAGTAGCACATATGTTGCGATCAACATCCCTGAAGGGGAAGGGAGGGAAGCAGGGTGGACAGATGGAGACACTAAGCTGGAATGTGGTGTCAGCCAAGATTTGGCTGACCCCATGGGGACCTCTGGAGCTGAAATGGCCTCACAGTGTTGTCCGCATTTGAGGCAAGAAGGCTAAGCTTTTATAGGGCTACGTTACCCAGTTGCTGAATGCAGCTTGCTCAGGGAAGGGACCACGGCTTTGGGCAAGGTGGCGCTCTTTTGCAGAGGGAGCTGCCAGCACAGCACACCCAAAGGCTGGAGGAATAAGCACTCCATTCCCAAAGGAGGATCTGAGAACCTCAGAACAGTGAGAACACAGATATGTAAACCTAGGAAAATGAGACCTCAGCTTCCATCAGCAATCCTCTTATTTTTAAAAAGAGAGAGAGAGGAAAGTCTGGCTGTTTATTAAAGAAATAAGAATAACGAAAAAGACAGGTCAATCAATACAAGAAGTTATCAGCATTTTATAAATCAATTATCACTTTTTTGTCTGGGGAAGACAAGTGGTCTAAATCGATAGTTTTCTAAATTTTGGTTTGCCATCTTCTATCTTTGTGCATTAAAAAAAAGTTATGTTTATGTTAAACATCCATCATGATATCATGATAAAGCTTGAGAGCATTCTTCTTCTTTTTTTTCCTTTTTTTTTTTTAAACAGAGTCTCACTCTGTTGCCCAAGCTGGAGTGCAGTGGTACAATCTCGGCTCACTACAACCTCCACCTCCCAGATTCAAGCAATTCTCCTGCCTCAGCCTCCCAAGTAGCTGGGATTACAAGCTCCTGCCACCACATCTGGCTAATTTTTGTATTTTTAGTAGAGCTGGGATTCCATCATGTTCACCAAGCTGGCCTCGAACTCCTGACCTCAGGTGATCCACCCATGTAGACCTCCCAAAGTGCTGGGATTACAGGTGTGAGCCACCACTCCTGGCCTCCTTAGGAGTATTCTTAAGATTGCATCCAAATTGGTTTGATCATATTTTAACATTTCAGTTGCTTCCTACATCCATTATGTGTGTCACCTTATGTGTATTTTGTGAATTAAACTGGATTATATAGTATGATTTTTTTTAGAGGTGGGCCTGTGCTAAGTTGCCAGGCTGGAGTGCAGTGGCTATTCACAGGCCAACATGGTTCACTGCAGCCTCTGACTTCTGGGCTCAAGCCATCCTCCTGCCTCTTCCTCCTGAGTAGCTGGGGCTGCAAGTGGGTGCCATGGTACCTGGCTCCACATAGTATAATTTTTAACTTCAAATTCCAGTTGTTCACTACTGCTACATACAGATACAACTGACTTTTGTATGGTGATTTTTAATGGAAAATTTTGTGTGAAAGTCTGCGTTTGTCCTGTAAATACTAAGCGCCACTGTTCATATTGAGCTCCTCTATTAGGGATTGTTATAGATGGGAAATTCATTCTTCCTTTGAGACTCCTTCACCTTATACAGCCCCAAGTGACATTTCAAGGAGTAGACAGTTTATTGGCTGCTTACAGGACTGGAGAGAAACATATTTGAGTCACTTTCCTTGTGTTACTCTATAAAGTTTGGTCATTAGGAAATCAAGTGATCTAGACTGCTTATGTTGTTTCTACTCCAGAGCCTTTCAAGACAGTTATCTTCACAGCCTATTGTAAGTTACAGATTTTAGGGTCAGGATTTAAAACAGCACTTATGATTTTCTCAAAGCAATGTATGGTAGAAATATAGAAAACAGAGAAAAGCAAAAGAAGAGCCACAAACCTATCACTTGGAGATAATGACATTCATTAATCTTCATTTAAGTTCCAGTCTTCCTATGGCCGCATACTATTTTATTTTTAACAGTTGTGTTAAAAATAAAATCAAGCTTCAATCCCTGCTTTTATATTTAGTAGCTGGGTGTTTGAGGGGCAAGTACTATAATACCTCAGTGCCTTCCTTTCCTAATCTGTAGTTTGGGATAGTAACAGTACCTGGCTAGAAGGTTGTTTTGTGGATTAAATAACCTAGTATGTGTAAAGTACATAGAACAGTGCTAGGCATGTGAGAAGGGCTATATAATGCTGGCTTTTATCATGATTCCTTAGTAAACTGCTTAAGGAGAATAATATTCCTGAAACCTGTAGATATTTCCTTCCGAGTAACTCTCCTAAATAAAAGTGACTTGAATCTTTATCAAATTCTTATTTCCACATCTGCTCAGTAGCACTGGGTTAAGGGACACGCTGGTGTCTTGTATGAATTCACAGATCTCTTAGAGTGTCTATTTGAGGCTTTGCTCTTCTTGCGCACCCAAGA